TTATTTTCTAATTCTCTTTTCTTTCTTTTCTTTTACTTCAAAGCCATTTTTAATTTCATTTGCAAAAGCAATTTAAACCATTTTAAATTTTCAATCAAAACCACTCAACCAAATAAATCAAATGCAAGGGCATGTATGCTCAAACATATTGCTACCTTATGATGAATTTTAATTTAATGAAATTTTTTTATTTTCCTATATTTCATGAGCACAAAATTCAGAAATAAATCATTTTAAAACCTATTTTCAAAAGAGGCAAATTTTAGGGTGTTACAGTGGGCTCTGTCATCTTTCTCAATAAACTTACCATGCAGCCCACTAAGATCTTGTAGGAACTCAACCTCTTGTCTCTGCTTATGTGCTTGCTCTACTTGTGCCCGCTTCTGGGCAGGTTTGGCTCTTGTTGGTTTCACAACTTTTTTTTGCTTCAGAACCTGCATATGTAGAAATAGTTTTTTTTAAGAACATTGTGCAATATAAAAAGGATAATATCTCACTCCAATTCATACAGGTCATTCTCTGAGATCAGGGGTGTGGGAATCATTAAATCATCATCTCAATTTCAAATAAATACTTTAGGGACACGAAAACTCATTAGGGAATCACAATGTAGATGAGAGAACTACTATATTCATAAACTTGTATTTGCTGTCCAATTAAGCAAAAGGGGCTTCAGAGTCCAGACCTTGCTCGAGAAGGAAGAGCATAAAATAGTTTGGGCATGCAGAAATCATTAAATCATCCAATTTCAAATAAATAAATATTCAGGGACACGAAAGATAATCAGAGAAACACACGAGAGCTGAGAAAACTACTCTATTCATAAACTTATGTAAAGAGTTTCCGACTGAATTTACGACTGGGTCCGCTTGTCATACTAGACTGAGAGATTTAGATGCGTTGGACCGAGTTTAAAGTAGATCCAACGGATAAGAATCAAGGTGGTTAAACATATTTGTGTGAGAATTTATTTTTAATGCCTTCGCTCTTTCATAATATAGATTTACCGTTGTGTTTGTTTTCATATCTCATGAAAAGCTTGTGGTCGTATCTTATATGCAAGGAGGTAGTGAGAAATGTTTTTTTCCATGAATTGGCAAGACACTGTAGCCATCATTTTCTGATCCCGATTTCATTTTATTTTCTCTCTCCTTCCATGCATTTGAGCTACTCTTTGTTCTGTGTATTTTATAAAGATTTTTCAGTTAAGGTCAGCTGACTTGTTGACGATCTCCTGTACAGCAGCCTGAAGTAAACCTTTCCTTTGCTGACATGAACACAATCCATGCCAACCATTAGGCAAGCCGAATACGCAAGGCCAGTCTCTGAACTTTGACAAAAAATATCTAAATTTTATACTGAACATTATGCTAACATTTACGACAAAACAAACAGTGATTTCAGGACAGCTCAAAGGACATCAAGAGCCTCCGCGGGATGGCTCTGCAGATGCTGCACACCCACAAATGTTGGGAGGTAAATGTAGTTCAGCTTGTGGAGAACACATGACAATTAATGGTGCCATGTGTGTAATCTGAATTATGAATCAGGATACTGCAAAAATATGTGTGTAGGTGCCAGATGTACTTCCATAAGAAGATCTTGGAGACAACCGGCGCGATCATCATGCCGATGACATGGCTGCATACTTAGACTGCCACGCAGGGTGACAGTGTACGCGCTGCAGGCTGACACATTGAGCACAGGGAGTTGGACTACATCAACAGAGGTAATGGACTATTCTAATACATCAATAGAGGATTTTTTTTATTCCTCTTTTTTTAGAGCTTGTAGAAAATGAATTTGTTCATTTATGATCCATGTGCTAACACCAGTGTAAGATTGATATTAGTTGGAGATGAACTTTGCCTTGTGACCGAGTTGATAGGGGATTCACTGAACTTTGCTAGACAGTTCAATGCTTCCTCAAGGTCAACTCCCACTTTTTTCTCTATTCTACATTTTTTTCCTTTTATCTGTTCAACAGGTGGTTAGGTGCTCCTTTTCAGTTAGCAGATGCATTGATATTATACTATTTTTCCAAACCTTTTCTATAAGTCGACTAAAAAGCTGTTGAGTATGATTTAGAAATCTTACCTGTACGGAAAAAATGGTGCAAGATTAAAGCTCCATTCTATTTGTTGAGTTCTGCAAGTTATGATTGCTGGTTTCAATCAAGTGTAGAAATATGTTGATTTCTAGAAGTTTTCGTTGCAGATGGTTGCATCTTACCCAGAAACAATTATTTGCATCTTCAAGTCAATCTTTGCACCAGGTGTTAGCACCTGTTTATTTATTCATGTTTTTTGTATTTCTTCTAGAGACATGATCCAATATTTATGTAATACAAGCTAGATGCTGATTTTGATAGTTAACGTTTCGCCTCCACGAAACCAACCTGAGCCACCGCAGTTGTGGGGAGCGGAGGGCCATCATGATCGGGACAGTGTGGCGGCCGTGGTGTTGGCGGCGGCTTGCGTGGCAGGCGCACGATGGCATATTGGAAGGTTGAACTTTTCATATCTATGTATGCAACAAAAGCAAGAGCTAATGTTCGCAATATAGGATTAAGAATACTGTATTCTAGAGGCAACCCACAAGGCCACAACAAACGAGGTGAAGCTAGGAAGGACAATAGAGGATTCATGGATTTGTACAACACACATATTAATTTAAAATTGTCGTGCATTATTTTGTTCTTGTCACAACGGATGTGATGGCATTATTTGTTCTCGTTGCAACGTACGGAAATGTCTATAAAGTAGATCTGTTGGTGAGCCTGCGATGCCGCGCTCTCAGTGACCGTGTTAATTTCTAAAACTTTTGCTTTTTTATTATATATCACTTTAATGTCGGTATTTAATTTTACAGTATTGTTATTTTATCATATGATCCGTGTGTTTTTAGTACAAAAGTTTAGTTGTCCCGTAGCAATGTACTGTCATACTACCTAGTAAAGAATAATTGTAGCTTTTTTCATTTACACGACTAGGAAGATCTGGAAGGAATGTATTTGTCATATCTTCGAAGGCAAGTCGGCAGTGCAAGCTTTCATGTTAACTAAAGAGGAGAGAGCACTCAAGAGAAAAAGGGTCTTATTTGGGACCGCTTATAATCGATTCAAATATAATCATCGTACCACGGATATTTTTTTCAATTCTTGATTGTCGATCTTGTTTGTTCAAAGTTCTGAAACAGTGGTTAAAAGAATCGAAATAAACTAAGCAAAAGAATCGATGAGTAGAAATAAATGAGGTTACCATGAGTAGAAATGCCAGTGGTTGATCGGTTGTAGCCAATTTAAGTAGTCATTTGGGACTTCTGGGTGATGGTCTTGGCACGGGTCTTCCGTGAGTCAAAGCAGCTGAGGGGAGGACAAAAGATTATTGAGCTAAACTAAGCATTTGGCACACCGAGACTCAGATTATAAGCGAAAACAAATATGACCAAAAGTGTGTGGTCATCTATGGATAACCTGCTCAGTTTGAGCTCCCAGGTTTCAACCATTGCAAGCGAATGCTACACCGGTTAGTCTGGCTGTGCGCTTTGCACCTTGCCGTCCAAAGTTCGAAGCCCCTTAGAGACGGATTTGTTGGCCGGAGGAGGTGCGAGTATCCGCGCGTTGAAAAAAAAATCTCGTCTGCCCCATGCCAAAACACAGGTCTAAGACCAACCCAGTCTCACAGAGCTACGGTGCCACTGTATATGGGTGGAAGCAGAGGTTCGTGGGTTTTCTCGACCTGCATGAGAAAGATTTTCTTCTTAAGCACAATACCGGGCTGTCTTACCTCTGTGGGCCGATTTTTTTATAATATAATACACCGTTCTCAAACTCGCTCCTTCTTCTTACGTGACAATATGACATAACAGTGTTCCTGCTGATTTCAACAAAAAAAAAAAAAGAGCGCTATACTTGCAGCAGCACCGCTTGCTAAGTGCTAACGGAGTTGTCCGAGCATATACAGCTGGAAACTTGATTAGTCCATCATCAGTCATCACTACAGCGAGTCGGTGCTCAACGTAGGTCCCACATTTGAAGAAAGTACTCGTAAGCAAAAACACACTTCAGGGACTATAATGAAATATTTTAGTTTCTGATCGTGAATTCAGTGTCCGTTTGAAATGGAGGAATAAAGAACGTAGGAATAGGAAAAAACACAGAAACAAGAAAAACACAGGATTTTGATGAATGGCTAAAACATATAATTGAAAAAACACATGAATTTCATAGGAGTTGGCGTTTGAAACAAATGAATTGAAATGTCTCATGAATTTGAGAGCTAGAAATAATCGAGGCGCTTAGACTAATATACAGTATTCTTTCACAGAACACATATATAATAATTAGAGACCAGGTCAATGAGGTCCAAATGGAGCGGGTCCACATGCTAGTTATTAAATGTACAAATATTGTGGTCTGCTGTGATCCACTCATTTCTTGTATTTTTTAATGCCTCGTCGGTAGAATCATGAAAGGTGGCTCTGGCGGCTCAGGTACTGCTAACGAGGCTCCTAGATCACTATTAGCAAGTGATCAGGCCATCCTTCACACACGGGAAAATTTCCAAGGGATTCAAGTGGATGTTTCATTTCCTTCATTTTGCGTAGAAAACGAAGCCTTTCCAGAGAAAAGGGACACCCGGTTCCTACAATCCAAACACATGGTGATGTAAGCAAAATAGAGAAATCTTGTTTCTTTAAAATTCCTATGGCAAAACTCCAATCAAACAGGCCCTCACGCTTGGTTTCCATCATAAGGATGTCACAGAAATACTGAATAAATCCAGGGGCAGGACTGCAAAATACGCGCTTCGTTTTTTTACCCTTTCTATTCCTCTCCGGACTTGAACCCCTTCCCCCCTCGTATTCTTCCCCGGCTCACCGCGCGCCCTAACCCTAGCTCCTCGATTCCACTCTGCCCGAGCCCGAATTCGCTCGCGGGGAGCACTCGCTACCTCGCGCCCGCCTTCCGTCGCGCGGATTCGGTGCCGCGCCTGGAGATGGACCCGATGGACATCGTGGGCAAGTCCAAGGAGGACGTCTCCCTCCCCAAATGTAAGCTCCCTGGCCTCGGGTTTACCCCCGTAGAACCCATATTCTGCCGCCTTTTATTTATTGTGTTGAAATTTGACGCCATTAGGGGTGTCGTGTGGATGGGCGTGTTCTTCTTGGTCTGAATAATCTCGTTAGCTGGGTTTGGTTTGCGTAATCTTGTCAGATGGTAAGCTAGGAAGCTGGGGTTTTGAAGCGATGCCATGAGGAAAGTTAGGTCTGTCCTAAGTGCTATTCGATTTCTGCGCCAGTCCGTATGTAGGATGGTTGTCCTGGGGCTTGTGGCGAAGTGTTGAATTGCGTGGGTTGTGGATAGCTAAATCTGGCAGCCTTGTTGATAGTCTTGGGTTAGTGGACCTTTTTAATTGAAGGGAGTATAGTGGTGCTAGTTGATAGCTGGTGTTGTTGCCCCTGGTTTCTTGTTTGTCTGCTAGTGGGATTCATGTTTTCTTATTGCTAAAAGATTGGGCAGTGCTTTTAACTCTGTGTATAGTCATGTAACGCCTGAACTGTCATGTTAAATGTGTCTTTGGGCTATCTTGCTTGGAGTTACTCGCTCCAGTCTGGTTTATAAGGCGTGTGAGGGAGTTTTAGAAAAAGTCCACTATGTAGGGTGGATGGGGAATCTGATGAGTATTAGGCAGAGTATTGATGTGTCACGGGAGCTTAACTGTTCTTTGCATGGCAACATGCAAACTACTATGATGTGGCACTATATAGTTCCTGTCTTGGGGTATGCTTGAGTGCTCTGGACGGATCCAATACAAGGCTTTGATGTGGCATGTACAGGACCATGGGAGCTCAGCATTTGGTGCTGGTTTAATATGATTCCTCAGTATCCTGGCGCTCCTTGGTATATGGAATTTGAGCCCCCTGTGCCTTACAAACAGGACTGGATGGACTAGTAAGTTAGTATAGTTTTGATGGTTTCGGGTTGGTGAACTGTGACACTCCAGTCGTTGGAAATGTTGCATCATGTAATGGTTTGGTTCTTGTTGTGGCTCGGTATATGAAATCTCTTCCGTGAATTGTATGGCTGTTTGCGATAACATAGGAAAAGAGGGCTTTGTTTCATAATTTGATATGTTTTTTCATATAAAAAAGCATCTGTTCTTATCAGTTTAATGTTTTTTTCATATATTGTGGATTATACTGGGAATGTTTGATGATTATTATTATATATAATAGTATTGGATTATCTTTTAATTAATGTGATTCCATGAAGTGTGAATGAACAATTATATGGAGTTACAACTATGCTAATATGATGCAAATTAGTGTTATGCGTTTCGAATAAAGTTCCTTGAACCTGGATGGGAGCAGATCAGCAGTTGGCTTCATTTTATTTGTGGAGTTGTTTAAAATCTTGTACTGACTGAACTTTCTGCTTTGCATTTTAGCAACAATGTTTAAGATAATTAAGGAGATGCTTCCTCCTGATGTACGAGTGGCAAGAGATGCACAGGATCTTCTTGTTGAATGCTGCGTAGGTAAGACATCTGAGTGCTACACAGTATACACCACTAGAGTATCATCCATCATATGGTACAACTTGTATGCTCAGCTATGCGAGAATCACTGTTTGAATAACATGGTTCTGCACATGTATCTTCTTGTAAATTACTACAGCCTGACATGATTTGTTGTCCTTTATGAAATATCATTTTGGAGCACTGAGCTTTCTGGTTGTAGTTCAGAAGACAATGAAGTTTCAGCATTAAAAATACACTGTGCAGTGCTGACTGTAGTAACATATAAGGTTATCTGTTTGATTTGTCTGGGAGCTTTCAAGCTTGCAGGTCATCTTGTGAAGTATAGTAGATAATAAAAGATTAAACATGTTTTTTTAGAAGGATAGCATAGGTAAAATTTGCAAGTTTATATCATTTCATATGCTGTCTACATGAGAGCCAATATACTCCTACCATATTCAGTTCATTACCCATTAATGAAGTAACTGCATAGCTTGTTCTGTCTAAATGGTTTACACTTCTTGTATGGATATCTCTCTCTCACAGCCTTACATTCAACAACAACAAAAAAATCTTCATAAGCATAGAGTTTGGTCTCTCTTTTTCTAATCTAACTACATGTAAAACCAATTTTCAGAGTTCATCAATCTCCTTTCGTCTGAATCCAATGAAGTGTGCAGCAGAGAAGAGAAGAAAACGATTGCTCCTGAGCATGTTCTTAAGGCTCTAAGTGTTAGTATTTTCTCCTTTCATGTTTTTTTATGTTTGATTTCTCAAAGAATAATTTGTGGTAAACACAGGGTTAGGTATGAGGTTATCCTTGATGGTTTTTGGGTTTCTTGGTGAACATTCATTATTTGGCTTTAATTTTGTGTAGACATGTGTTTGTAGATGCTTGTTTAATATAGAAGCACATCATCTTTATCATTCAACTTTCTGCAAACTCTCTGTGTGCATATAATAATATACTTGGGGACAGTGTGTAAGAGAAGCATATCAGTGATTAGCACAATTTAGAAGGTCAATATTTGAGTTCATCAAATCTGGTATAATGGACCATAACAAACTTTGGAGTTCAACAGAATATTTGGGGGACTGTTATATGTAATAATGTTCTGGGGAGTGCATTTGATATGTGCTATCTTTGTATATACTCCCTCACAGAATAAATCAATTTCAGTTGTCCTAAGTCAAACTACCTTAGGTGTGACCAACTTTATGAAGAAAAGTACCAATATCTGAGCAATAAAGTACACTATGAAAAAATATTTCATGGTCTGTCTAATCGTATACTAAATTTGGTGTCATAAATATCGATACTCTTTCCCATAATTTTGGTCAAACTTAAGATAGTTTGACTTAAGACTGACTGTAGAAGTTGATTTATTTTGGGATGAGGGGAGTAGTATTTATTTGTTTAAATTCGAAGTGTCAATATTACTAATCAACATGTGAGTTCCCTTAGCTTATCATAATTCTTCCTAAATCAGGATCTTGGCTTCAGAGAGTACATTGAGGAGGTTTATGCTGCGTATGAACAGCACAAACTTGATACTCTGGTTTGTACCACTTCTTACTCACTTCTAATCTGTGTACTATGCTTGACACCAATATGTCTCTTGAGCAGGATTCTCCAAAAGCCAGCAAGTTCACTGGGATTGAGATGACAGAGGAAGAAGCTGTTGCTGAGCAACAAAGGATGTTTGCTGAGGCTCGAGCAAGGATGAATAATGGAGCCCCCAAGCCAAAGGAGCCAGAACAAGAGCCGCCGCAGCAACCACAAGCACAACCCCAACTTCAGCTGCATACTCAACCACAGCAACCCGTGCAATCTCAACTGCAGTTGCATTCGCCAACACAGCATTCCCTCCAACCTCAACTGCAGCTGCACCCTCAGCCACAACAGCAGCCCCAAGTGCAGCTGCACCCTCAGCCGCAGCAGCCCCCACAAGTGCAGGTCCATCCGCAGCTGCAGCAGCCCCCACAAGTGCAGGTCCACCCGCAGCCTCCGCAACCCCAAGTGCAGGTCCACCCTCAGCCGCAGCAGCCCCCACAAGTGCAGTTGCATTCATCAGCCCAACAAGCTTCTCAACCCCAACCTCAGGTACATCTGCAATCACAGGAGCCCTCACAAGTGCAGCTGCAATCCCAACTGCCAGGTCAGCTGCAGACACAGGCGCAAAGTGGACCTGGCATGGACAGTTAGGGACTGTGTTGTGTAGCCTCAGTATAAGCAAAAGACCGGGCACTTTTGCTGGCATATACTAGGAGCCTGTATGCCTGCTTGTGACCCGTTAGATCCTGATTTAGGTTTCCGTGCTTCCTGTACAATGTAAATCCAGTGTGATTGCAGTTGCCTTGTTGCTAATAATGCGAAGCCGTTAGTTACTGATGATGTCCTTGCTGTGTCGAATACTGAATTCCTGACAGGTGTCATGACGTGGTTTATGTGCCGTGCTGAAACATATTCCGTTCATTGTAATAGCCTAACTTGACATTTGTCCATGGTGATAGTGACTGATTTGAATGAGCACTTGGTGCATATCGTCACTTGGACTGACCTGGGCGGTCGTTCCGTGTCTTATCTGTGTTTTCTATAAGGGAATGTGGTGTGTGCATGCCAGCTTTACATTGTTGTCTTTGTTGCTGAGCACCTTGGGGGCATCCATTCGAGCCATTTGGATGTGACCCAAACTGCTGTCATTCAACTGAAAGTTCAATGCAGCATATTTCTTCTCTTTTGTTTTTGGTGTGTGGAGTTCTATCCAAGGGCCCTAGAGGTTTTTTATATGTAGGCATATAGCACAAAGTGTTGGTAGGAACTTCAATGCGGCATTTGGTAGCTGCCATTATAATTTTGCTAAACTAGAGATATGCCATCTTGTCTCACATGTCATTGACTCGTGTGAGCCCCACATGTCAGTGAGATACCAATGGTATATCTCTAACTTTGCAAAATTATAATGGCACTGTTCAAATTGGTTGCTTTTAAAAAGCAATTAAGCAAATATCAAGTTTACAAACTAGAGCAGGGATACAGGTAACATCCAGAAACTAAGGGCATGGTGATATTTTTTTATTATTTTTTTTTATAACAAGGGCATGGTGATATTGACCGGCCAGTTGGCTAACAGTCTACAGCTCCCTGTTTAAATGAGTTAGGACTAAAAATTAGATTAGCTAGTTGGTTAAGCTCTATGTTTGAATGAGTAAGGACTAAAAATTAGATGAGCTAGTTGGCTAATAGTCTATCTTTTAGCTTCATGTTTGGATGTCCTAGGACTAAAAATGAGATTGTATAGATTAAAGCTAAATTAGCTGGCTAACAATTGTTGGGGTTGAAACGTTTAAGCCAATTGAGCAAGCTATACACCATGTCATCCAGGAACGGGCAGAGTTGCCCAAAACTATGAATAAACTGTCTTCTTCGTCACTGAACCAGAAGTTGCCCAAAACGATTTTCAGAACACGATAATTAGATGCATATATTATGAACTAAAGTGTCATGTGAAATTTCACACGGTTTGGAGTTTGAACAAGTTAATCCTGGATCAAATCTTTTCAAACTCATATAAAATCCATTTTTTGTTTAATTCAGGTGTTAACGCTGAGGTTAACCCGTGTACACATGCATCATATATTATTATAAATTTATAATGGCTGCATTCACATGCATGCTCTCTTTACTCAAAAGAAGAAGAATATATAGTAGAATACCTTACAACATCATACATGGCATGCCAATTGCCATGTACAGCTAAAGCATGACGATCGATAGATTGCCGACGCTCCTCAACACAACCTAATACGTAATATAGTAAGAATCTTATATGTTTATTGCAGCGGACTAATTGACACCAACACATAGAACATGGACGACGATCGAGGAGCTAGCGGTCCAAGTGTAGTAGGTGTAGCTCCGCATCTGCGCCGGCCGGCCGGCTGGCCGGCGACAGAGATCGACTCCATCATGCATGCATCTTCGATCACTTGCAGGTGGCGACGAGGACCCTGCGCGGCGGCAGCGAGGGGCGGCGGCCGTGGAGCGTGGCGAGGTTGTCGAGGATGAGGATGTCCCCCTTCTCCCACCGGAACTGGATGCTCTCCTCCTCGATGATCTCGCCGCATCGGCGCACGAAGTCGGCGGGGATCTCGGAGCCGTCGGCGAGCGTGGCGGAGCTGAGCTCCTTGCCGTGCATCCCCACCACGGTGTTGAACCACATGCGGCGTTCCTTGCGGCCCGGGAAGACGCGCGTGAGCTTCCGCGGGCCGAGGATGGTGCGCACGCCGCCGTCGGGGAGCCACTCCACGTCCATGCCCAGCGCCCGCGCGCGCTTCTCGGCCTCGGCCCTGTCGGAGGTGGCGAAGGCGTCCTCCCATCCGCGCCCGCGCATGGACTTGGTGTCGTCCTTGCTCAGTGCCGTGAAGGTGTAGCGCAGGCCCTTCTCGTCCAGCTCCTCCACCAGCTCCGGGAACTCCTCCAGCGCGCGCTCCGTCACACGGAAGCTCGGCACGAACGGCGTCTCCCCGCCCGACGGCGGCGGCACCTCGCAGAACAGGATCACCTTCCCAGGGAACTCCTTGATCTAATGATCGCGATTGATTGATTCGAAATCACAAGAACGTACACGTACGCCATCATTAGCAACAATAATGGCGATGGATGGAAATGCTGATGCCATACGTGGACGACGTACCAGGACCATCTCGTGGTGGTAGTAGATGAACTCCTCCAGCGGGCCTTCGTTGGCGGTCCAGACGCGGCCGTGGACGTGCGTGCGCGGGGCCGGCCCCACGTAGCGGATGTCCGGCCACCCCAGCGCCTCCACGACGGCGTTGAATTCGGCGGCGGCGCGCACGTCGAAGCCGCGCAGCAGCAGGCCGCTGTTGGCCACCACCTTGGCCTCCACCCACTCCCGGTTCGCCTTCAGCGCTTCAACCAGCGCCTCGTAGCCGTTGCTCTTGCCGTCGTCGCCGGAAGGAGCCAGCACCAGGGGCACCTGCTCGCCGTCGATGGTCTTCTGCCCCTTGCACTCGCTCACGCAGAAGAAGTCCGTCGCCGGCGCCATTGCGACTCTCTTTCTCTCTCCGTTCACCCTTCGTTGGATTAGAAGATGCGCTGCGACTTGTGAGTGCACGTACGCGTCTATATATATATATATAGTGAGGGAGAGAGAAGGCAACGCAGTTCAGTGCAGATTAAAAATCATACTGTAATTTGGAGGCTGACATTGTTTGAAGCGACGAATATATATTTATCCTTACAAAGATTCAAAAGAAGCCGCGAAGGAAACCATGCGGTTTCTTTGACGTTTATGATGGCGGCAACGATCTTTTTCATCAATAAAGAAAAAAGAAGTGATATATATGGCGGCAACCGGCAACTGATAAGCCAAACGGTGCTGCCGCAGTTAGTGACGATGTGCCCGGAAATTTTTCCATCATCATGTACGTAAGTCAGGATGACGCCCTTTGACATATATTTACATCACATACGAGCACAAAATAAAATTACGGCTTCATGGATGGATTCGTACGAGCGCGACAGGGAGTTTGATTTGTTCAATGGCGAGTTTGCTTGCATTGTTGCTTTTTACCAAGCATGCCACAAGGTGATCGATATAACAAAAAAAAATTAAAGCATGGCACAAGGTGAGGTAAAAAAAACGCCATGGTCGAAAACAAAGGTTTTACGTACTCGTCGTAGTGGGACATAGTTATCAACGATATACAGGTGGCAACGAAAGCTAGAGATCAGATCCATCGATGTGCTGTAATTTTTCGATAACCTCAGTACCACCATATATACTTATACTATACACCACCCTGTTTAGTTTGTTATCACTACCGGAGACCGGCTCTTTGCCGAGTGTCAAGTGGTTTGCCGAGTGTTGTTTTTTGGGCACTCGGCAAAGACGTCTTTGCCGAGTGTTTTTTTTTGACACTCGGCAAAGAAGCTCTTTGCCGAGTGTTTTCTTTGACACTCGGCAAACAAGCTCTTTGCCGAGTGTTTTTTTTACACTCGGCAAAGAAAATTTCAAAGCACATTTTGAAGTAGTAAATTAATTCAAATGAAAAAGTTTTCAACTACAAAGTTGTATAACTCATCAAGATGTACAATGTTTGTTTTGGTCTTTTCTTCATATGAAAAAGTGAAAGTAAATTTGTTCACAAATCTAACATATCCCTCTGATAGTTTATGAAACTACAAGAGAGATATATAAGATTTGTAAACAATGTTAGAACGACCATGTCGGATGAATAGATGACCAAACAACCAAAATAAACTTTGTAGATCTCGAAAAGTTATGAAACTTTGTAATTGGCAACTTTTTTATTTGAAATCATATTGTCATGCAAAACTGTGTTTAAATTTCAAAATTTTAAAATTCGAACTTTTCAAACGACCTCGGATGGAAAAACAACCAAAATAAACTTTGTAGATCTCGAAAAGTTATGAAACATTGTAGTTAACAACTTTTTGATTTGAAATCATCTTGTCATGCAAAACTGGGTTTGAATTTCAAAATTTTAAAATTCAAACTTTTCAAACGACCTCGGATGGAAAAACAACCAAAATAAACTTTGTAGATCTCGAAAAGTTATGAAACATTGTAGTTGGTGACTTTTTGATTTGAAATCATCTTGTCATGCAAAACTGCATTTGAATTTCAAAATTTTAAAATTTAAATTTTGTAAACGACCTCGGATGGAAAAACTTTCTAAACTAAAAGTGTAGATCTCAAAAAGTTATGAAACTTTGTAGTTTACAACTTTTTTATTTGAATTCGTTTAGGGGTTCAAACAAGCAATTTACATTCGGTTTAGTATAATATATTAGGAACTAAAACGAAATTCAAACACAAATGAAAGCGTGGTGTAATGGTAGAGGAGGTTTGCCGGCAGGGGAGGTCACGGGTTCGATTCCCTTCGGCCGCGTTGCCGTGATTTGACGCGAAAAATTGTGGAGATGGGCGCGGGCGCTGGCCAGTGGACGCCTCCTCCAATAAAAAAAATTCTTTTTTTTGATAAAAATTCCTATTTTTTCGGGTTTTTATCGGTTCCAACTTTGCTGAGTGTCGGACACTCGGCAAAGACGTCTTTGGCGACCCATTTTTAGCCGAGTGTTGTTTGCCGAGTGCAGCACTCGGCAAAGCCTTTGCTGAATATAAATTGGGCTTTGCCGAGTGCGCCTGGCACTCGGCAAATGTAGTGAGTCCGGTAGTGTATACTACAGGTTGCCCTGATGATGCTCTATCTGTTTGACAGAAGTGAAGGAAACAAATAAAAAAGAAAATAACCTCCATCCGTTCAGTGAAATCCCATAGTTAAAAAAATAAGATGAACCTATTAAAAGGAACTTAAATTGTGAATCGAAACTGAAAATTAATGGACCGAAACTAAAATTAGTGGAGTCAGAACTAGTTACAAAATTATTTCGAAATGTATAATTGTATTTTCATATCCAAGGGTTATTTGATTCAGCTCAGCCCAAACAAGTCCATGACCTAGGATGCAAATATCAACTCGTTGGATTCGCTGGCGATGAAACCTTTGTCTTCTCGGAGCGGCATCGGCGACTGTCCTTCCCCCTCCCAACCGGCGCTCCCCTTCCCTCCTTTTCTGCAATCATGTGGGTAGCGCGTCGGCCTCCCATGGTCACATCCCATCCTTGCTAGCGCTCGGCCGTCCATCACTCTCTCTGCCGGCGCTCCGCTTCCATTCTCTTTCGCAACCACGCTGACCCCAGGCAGCGTTTTGGTCCGTGTTGGCCTCCCGTGATCGCATCATGTGTCCCTGCCGATTCTGAATCTTTTCATCTTGGAAGTGTGCCAATGTTGTCCAAATAAACAGCCGAGTTATCAGCAATCGATCACCTGTGTAGTTACCCTACACGAGTTTAGCTAGACAACTAACACCGCTGTACCACTAATGGTCCATCATCCGCTTATGTCTGCAGGTTGCAGCTCCACCAAACAAAGCCATATTCGTGATCTCGTCAGAAGCAGTGAAGCTGAAACGTGTGAAAGAATGGATCACCGATCACACCTATCAGCTTATGCAGCTGAACCGCCTGAACGAGAAACATTCCCTCCGTGCTCAGCTCAGTGTAGCTCCCAACAAAGCCTCCGCGTCCAAAGCATCTCAAATGCACTGCAGTGCATCGTGTACCAAAATCTATACATTTGCATGCAGCCTATTAAAATCAAAAGCTTCCTTCTTCTTTTTTTGCCAAGCAAGAGGCGGGACGAACGCGGTCAGGTGGACGACGGCGGCCGTCGGCAGGTGGACACCAACGACCCAATGCAGGCGGGCGGCGGGCGGCAGCACGGGCTTGGGGCTTCAGATCGTGGTTCATGTTCCCAAGAAAAAAAATGATCAGATCAATTAGAGCTAATTATCCGGATAAAGTACTAAAGTACCCCTAATTGCAATTACCAAGTTTTTTTTACCTCTTTTAGGATGGTGGGAAAAGTACTGTGGTGCCTCTAGGTACTTTCATTTTTTTCTATTTTTCTAGCTATACTAGGTAAATGTCTGTGCGTTGCAACGGAAACACATAATACAACGATAACATATGTATGAGCGTGTATTATACTGTTATCTAAAATAGATACCGCAATCATAATGTTCCAATCAATATTACATAAGTCTTTACGAAAGATAGATAGTTAAAATATAACTCTAAATTTGAATGCAAAACTAAAACATCAACTTCAATTGTCGCATCACTTCATGCCTACGATACGCGAAAGATAAGCTTGCACTTCTTTAGGAATCAAGTGCTACGGAAAGATAATCATAACAAGTTTTTGTTTCACAATACATGTTTTAAAATCTATTATACAATTAAGAATCTAATCTCTCAATAGTTCGTCTAAGAGAACGTACTTTGCACGAATACCAAGCTGTAGTTGGTCACCAATCAAAGATGATCTAGAAGATTTTCTAGTCTCAAATGAGGTGTCTGACTTCTTGCAGCTAGAAGCATGCAGATGACTTCTTGCAGACGGCTGATGTCTGACTTCTTGTGCGCAACTCCGGGTTGTTACAATCACTGCATCAAACAAAAACAATTCATGACCTACTGTGACTATAGCCTGGCAAATATAACACTTCCAGATGTATATGTGCTCTTTTTCCTAAAGTTTCCGCAAACCTACCACCAGGCAATATAATTGAGTTACTATAGACAAATTTAATGAACATAGAAAAAAGTCTACTGGACTATGAGGAAATAAAGTCTAGATACCGAGAGCTAAATTATAGCATTTGTGTTCATGTCTATATGGCTAGATGCTTTGTGACTGTCACATCGGATTATTCAAAAAATAGATAAAGGTCATTCCCACATGTATTTTTTACTTTCAAAAAAAATTATTACTTTCAAAAATTCCCACATGCATTTTGTGGTGCAGAGATAACTTTGTGACCATCTCTTAGTGTTGCATTGCTATTGAGACACAATCAACCAGTGTTATTAAATTGGTGACCATCAAAGCCAGAAAATAAACTAAGAAATGAATAGTGTGACACAAACTGTGATGACCCATAGTCCCTCACCTTGTATCTCAGTTTTTGCCCAAGTGAAATTCATTGATGTTGCTATGATGATCTCACGAGATGGTAATCGAGTGGCCATGAAATTGATCGATGTTGCTGTGATGACCTCACGAGATGGTAATTGAGTGGCTGCAAAATGACTTCTCCCTTTAATTGAAGACATATATACAAATTATTTTTGTTCCACAATTACATGATCGCAACAGATCTGATGGACAGATATTCTACACTGTATATTTGTTCCTTCAGGCTTGATCTGCAGTCATGCACTCACACTGTATATTTCTTTAATTGATACCATTCACTGAATAAATGAAGATCAACAGATATGTGAATCAAAGATGGGTACAAGAAAAGTATCTGGAGATTTTGTATTCACTTACTCACACAAGAAAGCATTTGCTTCATCTATGAAGAGGAGCAAAGCCCTATCAGATTTCTTCGCCCTGTCGAACAACTGATGGGTCTTGGTGACTTCTTGTGGTCCCAATGTTGCAACATCTTCACCGGTCATTAGTACATAAATCTAATCGCTGTAAGTGATGACAATATTAGTGGGACTGCAGTATTTCGAAAGTTTTTATTAGTGCTGACTTAGGTATGGTCTATGTATGTAACAAACAGAATTGCGAGTTAGTACCTCCACGTTGATCCTAGTGCTTGAATGTAGATCCTCCATGGTGGTGGTCCTCCTTCTCGAATGGAAACCTCCGTGCGGGAGCCCCAGACCTTTGAGGACAGGGAGAGAGTGACGGCCCGATGCGGCCTCGTCGTCATGTCGGTGTCAAGGCCACGCTCCAGCAGCCACGCTGGAGCCACTCCTCCTCAGCAGATCTGAGCACCGGGGTCGGAACGGAGGGGCTGTGCGCGCCATCATCCGTCGGGATGCGGTCCAAGATGAAGTTTGTGCTTATATGTTCCAGCCGAATATATTCTCAACATGGCTCAACAAAAATAAAAATATCACCTGATCTATAACTTGCATGTCAGTTTGACAACCAAGTTCGGCCGGCTTGATTTCAGATCACAGAGCACATAACTTCTAAATTCACGGCAAAGCATACTTATAAATGTTTTAGTTGTAGAGATAGAGAAGAAATAGAGAAGTAGTTAAGCAGATTATCTGTAAAATGGATTTTTTATTATCTAGGATATATTGGTAAATTGAGATTATGTCCCTTAACCTCTCACGTACGTGGGGTTCTTTTTCCGATTGGCCCCAGCCGGACTCCCGAACCTCTCAAGGCTATCGAACGCCACCGGCCCGAATACTCGCCGCCGCGGCGCCGCCCCAAACTCCGGACTACTGGCTGCCGCCGGTGCCACCAGTAGGCTTGTTGCCCCCGCCCCCGCCGCTAACTTGCTCAAGGAAGTGGCAATGCCAAGGAAGTAATAGGCAATTGCAAGCCTGGCATTTGTAGGATATCTTGCTCATATGCTTTTGGTTCCATCTACCACAACAGAATCAACCGAATGGCTAGCATGAGTGGAGGAGCATGGCGCTAGCAGCAGGGTTCTCACTTCGTCGTCGTCGTCTTTGTCATGCTCCTATGTGTGCACTGCAGGCGCACGGATGGCTAGCGCAATTGCTCCCGGCGTTGTAGCTTCGGCAACGGGCCGGGTGCTACTGATGGGGAGAAGAAACGAGTGGATGAGAGAAGAAAATAAACAGGATGGGAAATCCCAGTTTTGTCCTTCACGACAAAGAAATTGCCGAATTAACTTCTTCCAAAAAAAAATAATAAACAAAAAATCAGAAACTGGCCAATTAATTTTGATACTAGTCCCACCTATTTTGGTACAATCCCCACCAATTTAGTACTTTTGACTACTTTCACATGACATGTGTACCTCCTATTTTAGCACCGTCCGATCTTGCACTGTGGACGATCCATATTTTTTTCAATCATTGTAAAATTTCTCTTTTTTTATAATCAACTATTGCCATTTTTTCTTCCGGGAGGAGCCCATGGTTCCTACCAAGCCTACCAAGCACAGTAACAAAGAAACTGAACAATAGCAACGCATGAAGCGACTTGGTTGCGTCTCCTTCCATGGTTCCATTCCCCATTCACCAGGTTGCTTCATTTCTCTTTCCAATCATGTCTCTTTAGATTCTCCTTTTGCCTCATCTGCTTAGGCACGAGCTCTACCCAGTGGCATGCCGGCATACAATGCATCGCCACATGGACCGAGGTGGAAGAAGCTAGCGCGGGGTGATGGTGGTTTTGCAGAAGAAATGTGTGGTCGTGTGGAATGACCAAAGGGACAACAACAGCAGAAGAAATGAGCCCTGACTCTAGTGCATATACAAATAGGAGAGCTAATAGGTGATTTTTTTTAGTTATTAGCCAACTAGCTAATTTGATCTAATTTTTAGCTCAGCTAATAATTAGCCGTGGGTATTAAAAGGCCCTTAGAATGCACCGCTGAAATGACTTTACGCTGTTGCATACTTTGCCATTCAGTTTGTTTGAAATAGCAATCTTAGTCGTATAGTGCATACTTGGATAGAAACGTTAATCAACTCATATTAAATTGTCCAACAAGTCATTTGCTATCATTTAAAAGTAAAACATATATTATTTATTTTTTCTGTTAATGTCTATGCTCAATATTATTTATATTTTTCTCATAAATTTCCACGGCAATTCTTGTATGAATCTAATGCACCGTACGTGCGCCAAAGTTCATTTTTTACGAAAGCTACTACGGACGAGAACGAATGCACGTGGATACTCTACGGGCAGGTCGACAGCATCGCTCCTAGCAGTACCTTTTTTTTTTCGATAACTCCTAGCAGTACCATTGTGCGCATATGCTGGTGTTGTGTGATTTTGTCTACCTCTCCAACCTAAGGAGTGCACGGACAATAATACAGGCCCTTTTGCAATTCTGCCACGATGTTTAGTCTCTTGTGTAATTATTTTATAACTAGTCGTCTCTTTGTGTAATTATTTTATAACTAGTCCATCAATTACTTATATTAAACTACATGTTTTTATTTTCTAATACAATATGTATATTAGATACTCGTAGTCTTTGTAGAATTGTGACAAATTTAGATTTTAAGGGGTTATTTGTATAGTTTTTACAATGATAGAAATGGATTCTTTTGTAAAATAGAATAGAACCAATGACTATTATTTACAATGTCGATTAAAGTCTACAAAATAAAGGCTAGTGTTTCTGATCATTGTGAGATTTTATAGTATTATTGGACTTTTTAAAAAAATTCTAACTATTAATAGTAAGACACAATTTGATGTTCGTATCTAGAACAACATACCTAAGTCGACATTCCAATTGATGTAAACCAATTTTTTTTGTTGTTTCCAAAGAACGAAGACCATCATCACATAAATTTTGAAAATCAGGATCAGGAAAACCAATCTTCATTGTTTTAATGTGAAATTTTATTTGTACAAAGAAATAAAGAAAATACCTTTTCCCTTGATAGTGGTATGGAAATATCTAATTTTGGTCCTTTGAAAGGAAAGAATTTGAAAGGATACAAATGCGATCTTTATTCTATTTTGAAGCTATTTTGGTGTCCAAAATGTGCCTATAGATTTCATATATGATTTGATTTTGTAGCCACCTTTTGGACACCTAAACATTTTTAATTAAAAAGCTATCAACTAATGAAGCCATTTTTATTTTTTAGTCAAAATAGTTTTTAATGAAGCTAAAACATTTTTTTATTGAGTGGAAGAACGTCCCAGGTTTACTGGTACAATAGGTCCATATTTACGGCCTGGAGAGGTTTCAGTTGGCTCCATCACCTCACTGTAGTACTGTAGCAGAGCCACCAGATCCTCAAAACACTAGATCCTTCAGCTCCACTTTACCGGTTGTATTTTGTCGAAATCGAAGCCATTTTGCTTCACGATACAATGTGCTACAGTCTTGCACAGTGCACTCAGTGCACCTTCACATGGAGCTGGGAGCGATGCCACACAATGCCTTAGATAAGATGTTCCAGATTCATGAGAACTGTTCAATGTTTAAAAGAAAAAAAAACATCTAGCTTCAAAAAAACAATTGTTCTAGATTCACTATAAAAATATTCTAGCTCCAAGAAAATTGTTTCAAGTTGAAGAGAGAAATGTCTAGCTTCACAAGAACAAAATATTTTACCTTAATAAAGTAAAAAATGTTCCATATACTCATTTGAAATGTTTCATCAAATATTATTATGGTTCCACTAATTTAAACCAATGTTCCATTGGACATTGGAGTGATGAAAATAGATAGAGAACAGGTGGGAAAACCTTCAACCATTTCTATTTTGAATTTCACAAATGTCATGAATGGAACAAAAATGAGATGGGGAACAGGAAACGGACAAATACAAACAGGAACTAAAAAATTAAGTTAAGATCATGAGAAAACTTAGTACTCTCTCTGTCCTTAAATATAAGGAACTGAGGGTTCACAATTATAAGGTATTCTACGTGAACAAGAACAAACACTCTAAAAGACAATATTCACATGCACACCTACCAATAATGTCTATCACCAACCCATATATGGTAATTTGGGAGGGTTATATATATGTCATCTGTCTTACCACATACTCCCTCTGTCCTGTAATACAGTGCATTCTAGAAATTTTAAGACAAATTAAGAGAGAACACAAAAGACGCATGTGCCCTCATTTCATTTCCTAATCAGATGCTATCATCAACGTGATTAATGATGATTGGTTGAAAAATGGAAAGTATTTAATGCAAAAATGATTTTTATCTTCTAGAATACATTGTATTTGAGGACAAATTTTGAATGCTAGAATGTACTATATTACAGGACGGAGGGAGTAATATGTTCTAAAAAATACTTGGATACCTTATATTTCCGTTACCACATAATATGTTCTAAAAATACTTGGATACCTTATATTTGAGAACACATGGAGTATACTCATTCGATATGTTATGAGGCTTGTTAAAGTGCCCCATGAGCTTCCTGATTGTTCGGGGCCCATATCCTCCATAAGGTCCCCTTCTATTCACATGTTTATAACCTCACATGCTAAGTGTTCGTTCTTGCAAAAACCCTAAAGGATGACCTTGGCTTCATTTGAGGGGGCTTTGGGAATGGCGGACATGTGGAAACGCTAAGGCTGGGCATTCGGGTTACGCGAAAAATTCGGGTCGGGTAATTCGGGTATTAAAAATTGCTAACCAATTTTTGCCCCGAAAAAGCATTACCCGAAATTTTGGGTGCACGATAATTCAGGTTTGGGTTTTACCTGATATACCCGAAATTGACAAAACCAACTATTTTGGAAGAATTCAAGTACCATTTTAAAGAAATAAACAATAGCCCTATAAATCACATCATGTCTTCATATCAATTACCAACAAATCAATTATCAAGTTAGCACAAATCTACATTAATTCATACCAAATAATATATTTATATGGCATTGAAATACTTACTGTCTTCATATTAGGAATAGGAGAGCAAATATTTGAGATATTTTGGGTAGTTTGGGTACCGGGAAACATTACCCGAATTACCCAAACTAATTTCGGGTTTCTACAATCACTATCCGAAATTGTGATCGGGTATTTCGGGTTCGGGTACTTCGGGTCTGGGTTCGGGTAATTTGGATTCGGGAATTGGGTATCGGGTATTTTGCCCACCCTTAACGCTAAGCTATCTTGGAAAGTG